CCCCACCCCTCTCTCCCACCCACTCTTTTGTGCTAGCTATCGCTTCGTCCAACCCCATTCCACAGTAGCCGCAACTCTCCCCAGCCCCTTCCTTATCTACTATAATTCCTTCCAAAATTTGTAATAACTTGCTTCTATTGTGATGCAGCCACTCTCCCTTGTCGTTGCTCTTCTCGTTCTCCTCCTCCAAGCCAAAAGTTCCTTGTCATATCCTACAGCAACTACCTCTCCATACCCCTTCTTCCTTCACAACTACTGTAGCTTATCTAGCCTACTCTTCTTGCACTCTCCACTGTCCTATCCTGCTTCTTCAAATCGTTGATTTTACTACCTCAGTCGGGGCCCGCTCTTCTTCGTCTTTGCCCTAGGGTGTTGTGTGTGTTGTTTTTCTGTTTGCAACTGTTGGTTGTAATCGTTTTGAATTGAAGCAATAATATTTTCTTTTTTCTATTATCGTTTGGGTATTCTTTCTCTGGTATCATTTGGTATCAGAGCTAGTCAAACCCTAATCTTATCTTTAGGTTTCCTAGCATTCTTCATTCCTAATCTACCTCCGCAAAATGTTCTTTCCAATTCCAAATCATTGCTAAAGTTTTGACCTAACCCTCAATTTCTCTTGTTGATTTTCAAAATCAGCAACCCTAAATTAAATTTTTAACTCTCTCATCTCCCAACTCTAAACCCTAGCCAAATCGCTATTGAGAAACATGCATGAGCCCTCCCGGGAGGAGAAACACCGAGAGATCCCCCGACTTCGACAGTGGATTGCATACATGGAAGATGAAATCTTCAACAGTGATCCAAAAGGTCAAGGGAAGCGCGGATTTGGCTTCCCTAAGCCCTAAATTCAGCTCCTTCTAAATTTTTCACTCCTTCAAATGATCCCATTTATTTTTAAACTTTAGTCTGTCATAATTTCTTCCAGTTAATTCTTTAAACCCCTTAGATATGTTATGCCAACCTTCCTTGTTGAAATAGGTGGTCTGCCTATTCCCGATCTAAACAAAACATGCAGAAATCTCTCTAACCTCCCTCACAATCGAATATTTCAATTGTAAGGGCTCAAGAGTTGTATTGCAGTAGTTTTCTGCATGTTGGATGAATAGGCGAGGTGAGAGCGGTTGGACAGCAAATAGGAACAAAAATCAATGGGTTTTCTTCAGCGAGCAGCAGTTTTCTGCATGTTGGACAATGGAGGCGACCTCCAAACCTTTAGGGAGTGATCGTCATCTTGGTTCTATCAGGTTAGAGACATACCGTCTGAAAGAATTATAATGATGGAACATTCCTGTCAAAATAACCAAGAGAAAGCATATCCAAATAACATAACGATAGCCAAATGTTCTCCGAACTAGAATAAAAGAGCATATAAATAGTTTCTAAAATAAATATCCTATTTAGGAATAAGAAAAATAGGAAATAAAGAAAAATAAATTAAAGTATAGGAAATAAATAAAAAAATGAAAATCTGGGTTGAATCAGAAATTTGTAGCTCCCACAATTCTACGGTCTCAGAACAGATGCTCCTTGTCATTCTCTTGGGTCAGGAGAAGCTTCTTCTTCTTCTTTAGAATGATTAAAATTTCACTGTTGGACATTCTTCCCCACAAAGCACCTAAGGATGTGTCCATAGTTGTATTTCTTCTTTCCTGTCTAGTCATCTCTTCGTGGGTGCACTGTTGATTGAACTGAACTGAAATTTAGCACCTAGCTAACTCAATAGGGCCTTTCAGGAATTGCTCAGAAACTTCTAATCTCTAACATATTAGATCTCCCTCAGCAATGGCAACTTTGGTGTAATAAAGCACAAAACGTGTTGGAAACGTTGTAGGATTGACTACTTGAGTGGGAGGTTGGATGCAGCTGAAAACTGACGTGAACGCGGTGACAGGACAGCAAACTGGAAGCGGAAAAAGGGCGGTTTCCAGTTTTAAACAGCAGGTGGAGGCGTTAGGAAGGCTGCAGGAAGCGAAACATGTGGTGGGGCAGCAGGTGGGGTAAGTTTGATAGCTGTCCGCGCTAAAAAGTGCAGCCTAACAATGAATCGGTGAAGTTCGGGCTGACGAACAGTGAGTCGGAACGGAAAACAGTGGGTTGTCTCCTGCGATCTACAGTTTTCAGCAAGTTGGATAATGAAGACGACCTCCAAACCTTTGGAGAGATCACCATCTCGATTCTATCAAATTACAAACACCGTCTAAAAGAATATTAGAGAACAACACTAGCCGAAATAGAACAACAGTCAAAAGTCCTCCAAACCAGAATAAAACAAAATATTAATAACCTTACAAATAAAACTCAACTTAGAAATAAAACCCAACTTAGAAATAAGAAAAATAGAAAATTAAGGAATAGGAAATAAGAAGAAGGAAGAAAATCTAGGCTAAAGCAAAATTCGGATGACAGTTTTCACGGTCTCCCCGATCATGTGTTCTGTGGCTCCCACGATCCTGCACTCACAGAACAGACGCTCCTCGTCAAATATATTGGAGTGGTTGATAATTTAGTAGATTCTTTTAATGTTCTTGGTGTGAAAATTTGATAATTAATTGCAATTGAGGTTGACTTATGGGGATTGAGATGCATGGTGGGCTGAGAGAGGAAGGCTGACATCTTAAATAAAAAAGCATCAAAGGTGGAAGATGGATGTATCATACGATATTCTGAAATGATCGTATAATTTTTAGTTGTATTTATTTGGCCGCAAACTATTCAACTGTTCTATTTAGTTTTTTAACTCAACAAATTTATACCAATTCAGTCCCTACCCGTATCTTTAAGCGTCATTGCTTTGAATGGAAACTAATAGAGGGATGCTTTCAATGGAGGGTTTTCTAAATTTTTAAAATTAATCATAGAATTAGAAATAAGTGGTGAGATCGGCTCTAAATAATGCTCTATTGAGAAGCTTCCTTTCACTAATGTCTATCCAAAGGAACAGTGGTTGACAATAACATGATATTTATTCATATTTGCTGTGGCGGGGGACTATTTGGATACTTGAAAGAATTTAGGACTAAATGAACATGCCTATAAAAGTATGGAAATCATTTTTTGTTATTTACTTTATAATTTATAAATACCAAGTGGGCATGTTCATTTAGTCCTGCTAATTTTGAGTAAATACAAAAAGCTAGATATTTCATTAAATAGGGCATGTTCATTTAGTCAATTAAAAAAGCTAGATATTTTATTAAATAGGCCTGCTAATTTTGAGCATGCATATAGAACTCTAAGCTGTATTTGAAGGTTCTTTTATTTGAAATTTTAATAATTTTAGTTACTACTGTTATAATATCATCTGTTACTCATGCAAATTATATGATGCAGGCTTTATCCGGGGTTGGTGAGGCCATTCAAGACACAGCTGATATAATGGATAACACTGCCTTGAATGCAGCACTCAACGCACAGTTCTTGTTCCAAATTGGCATTTTTTCTGCAGTTCCTATGATTCTGGGATTCATTTTGGAACAAGGCTTTCTAAGAGTAATGACTCTACAATATGTTCCTACCTTGGTTTTTCTATTATTTCTAAATTTTCCAACGTTCTCTTTCTGAAGATACTTACAGAATTTAAGCAGGACTGTCAAGCCTCACGTAAAACCATCTTCTTATATGATATCTTCATCAATGTTGTCTGTGGTGCATAGTTTGAGGGGCCTGCATGATTTGCATATACCAATTTTGAGCAAAATAGTTAAAATATATGAACTATGGTTAAGATTATGCAGATTGGTTATGAAGTCTCCTTGAAGAGGCATCATGTGTAATATTGTTAATGCAAACCTTTTTTCGTTCTAAGATATATGCTCGGTTAAGACTTGATCTAAAGTTGATCACATTCATGCTCTCATTATTGTTACAGCTTGTCATCTTTCTGTTTCTGCGCATCAGCATTTCTTCATTGGCATTCATGCTGTAAATAAATTGGATAGTGCATGCGACTTCTTGTCTTGGTGGTGTGCCCACATTAACCAAAATATTAGAATTTTCACTGCTATAACTGTATAATTTCATGAAGCAATTTTATCCTTTATTGTGTTTCTTATTTTGTTCTCTCTCACTTACCTTGCCCTAACTTTTTTTTCTTGGCATTATGAGTAAAAATGAGTTTTAACTTCCATTTCTTTTGAATTTAAAACATTTTCGATTTCAATGTTTGCCTTATTATGTGTGTATCCTGATTCCATGTCTGTTAAAGTTACTTTGGGGAGACAATCCTAATAAATGGGCAAATACGACATGGAAAATACTAATGAAGAACAACTTTTGTAGTTCCCTTTAAGTTTATTTATTTATTTATTTTTGAATAATTACTTTTTTGCATTTAAAATATTAATCCTCCCACCCTCCTCTTTTCTCGACTTAAGTTATAGCACTGCGGGATGTGGTGACTACCACTGGAGAGGGACCGCAAGCGTCGTTTTTCTTCCGTTTATGATTTCTTTACTATTATCCTTCATTTTTTTTTAGATCTTTCCCATATACGTGTGTATTAGGGTTTGAATTCGTTGTTTTGGCGTGAGTTTGTTTATGACGGTTGTCGGCATCTATTTTTTTCCCTTTGAGGGTTGAATCCAAAGGTTTGTGTGGTGCTCCGCCTATATCCTTTTCCGAGGTGGTGTTTATCTTCTCAATTCCCCTTCAACATGCTTGCCACATGACTCCCTTTCGTCGTTCCCTACTGCAGCTGCCTGGAACAGTTGCAATGCTATTCTTCCTACAGTTTCTGCATTTCAGCTCATATTCTCTGCAATTCCAAGCTTTTGCATGCTGACATTGCAGTTCCAGCCACCCTTTCTACAATCCCTGCTGTCCTCCCGATTAGTCGCCAGCTCTCCCTCGTGCTTTTTCCAACAGATTACACCCTTCCAACTCCCTCATACCGGCTTCCATCTTTGTTGCAGCCCTCCCTCCTTGCTGGCCTTGTTGTCACAGCCCTCCTGCCTTGCTGCCCTCGCTGTCACAGCCCTCCACCAGCGCTGCTGCAGCCGCAGTGCCTACCCTTTTCGGTTTCTTTACTGTCAAGCCGCCCAAACAACAAATTGCGACTGTCTGGACTGCCATCTGTTGCTGCCTGCTATTCCAGCCATCCCTAATCACTGTTGCCCCTCTTCTAAAGTTTGGAAAACAAATTGCGACTGTCTGGACTGCCATCTGTTGCTACCTGCTATTCCAGCCATCCCAAATCACTGTTGCCCCTCTTCTAAAGTTTGGAACCCCTTCCCTTACCTTGCCACCTCCTCTCCAAGTCCCTTAGTTGTCACCTCTATCACCGGGGATCCGCCCTAACTTGAGTTTGCGTGGCGTGTGAGTTGTATTTTTCCTTTTAAGTGTTTTTTATTGTAATTGCCTAGTTACTTTTAGCAATAATAATTGTTTTGCCTATTATTATTTGGGTTAACTCCGGTATCACTCTCAGTCCTACTCAGATGAATGATTTGAATGTCAGTGTCTATAGTTTCTTCTGCTTTCACAGTGCTTGGGAGTGGCTCACCATCTTTTCGCTCTAGATATATACGTTCTTACTCAAGCTTACTGGAAGAACACAATTGGTCGACAGTGTGCCACAAAAGGAAAATCCCTCATTTTTGCTTCTCTATGTCTTTCATCTCTTCTGTATGTGAGACGACTTGGTTTGTGTTTCAAGACTTTACAAAAAGTATGCCAGAGCTCCACATGATTTTTTGGTGTGTGGTATTTTCCTATCGCATTAACCTCTGGTGTCAATTAATCAGGCTTTGATTACAAGCAAGGCTTATTATGTCTTTCGTGTTTGTTTAGAAATAAATTCAATTATTAGGATACCTCTTCTTTCCAAACTCACCAATTTTAAATTGTTTCATCCTTGTAAGGCAGTTTGAAGTAAGGTTATGCACTTGAAGGTGGTGCTTATTACACTTTTATTAAAAGCTTGGAAAAAAAAATGGGAAGCCTGCTCTTATTCTCACTGAGTTGAAAAAAAATGGGAAGTCTGCTCTTATTCTCACTGAGTTAACTGAGTTGGAAACCTGTACTCTCACGTGCTCTTGACATTTTGCTCTAGTGGGGAAATTTCTTTATAGTCACCCAAAACTGGAAATCATTTGGAAAGATTTTGATGCCATGAAACTATTGGGCAGTTGGAACATTGGCCTACTTGACGGTCGACATTACTGATTCAGCTATCTCGCGATGCCAATTACACTCACATTTTCTCTTAAAAAGTTATCAAGATCGACGATCATTTTATGAAAATCCTAAAGTGGACTATCGATTTTCATACAAAAGTGGAATCCCCTATCATTCCTGTTTGGATAAATTTTTCGAGGTTAAAATTACATCTGTTCAATATGGAAGTTCTCTACTCTTTAGCAATTATTTACGGTAAGCCTCTCAAGGTGGATAGTCCTGCGTTTGCCCAATTATTTACGGTAAGCCTCTCAAAGTGGATAGTCCTGCGTTTGCCGTCACCAAACCCTCTGTGGCTTGTATGTTAGTTGAGAGAGATATTACTCAACCAGCTCCGAATGAGATATGAATTGACACTATTCACAACGGTTATTGGCAAAAGGTTGAAGTAGAACCACACCCTCCTTATTGCTCTCATTGTAGTATATTTGGCCACAGTTCTACTATTTGTTATCGCTTGCATCATCTTCTAAGGCTTGTAGTATATTTGGCCACAGTTCTACTATTTGTTATTGCTTGCATCATCTTCTAAGGCCGAATATCGCTAAAGATCAGTCATCTGCCATCCTTATTAAGAAGGTGCAACCCGATCCTCTTTCCAACACCGCAGTTCCTGATGAAGAACACCATACTACAGGTACATATCCAAATGTGCTTATGATACCACTTACTGTTATTGAAGAAGGCCCACTTCCATGCTAAGACACACGAGAGTGCTTCTTCGATCTGATAAAAGATCAGCTAATACAACAAGTAGTTGCTTCTAATGTTCACAACTCACACATGTCCTGCACACTTCAGACAATTCCGCTGATCAGGTGAGCCAATCTTCGGATGAGGAATGACAGGTCTACACGAGGAGGAAGAAGATTGGAGGACGACTCGTGCTAGGGAATCTATTGGATGATACATTGGTTACTACTGGCAATAGAACTCATTTGACCAATTTATTAGTTGGCTCCTTCTCTAGAACTAGAGGCAGAGGCAAGGCACAATTGGGTCGCTCTCCAGCTACCTGATACTTTTATTTTGGCACTTTTTGGCTTTTTATTTAGATCTCTTGTGTATTTTGTTATATTTTCTCTTTTTTAGAACCATTTGATATGATGGTTTTTGTGTGGGCATGGTGTCATGTTAGGGACCTCCCACAAAATCTATTTGTACCCTACTTTTATTTAATATAATAGTCTTTGGGCTTTGAAACAAAAAAAAAAAAGTAAGGTTACGCACTTCTCTCTTTAAATTGTTTAGAATCTCCTAACTATTTTCTGCTTAAAAAAATAGTTTAAAATTTATTGTGAAATTTATTTTTCTATATATTTTATGCATTTGTTTTTCAAAGCTTGTCATTCTTTGTGTTGGTTTCTAGGCTTCACGGTTGTTGAAAGACACTCTCTCAACTATATTTAGTAATTTAGACACGGAAAACCTTTATATTTATCAACTCTTCTAGTTCCCTTCAAGATTTTTTTTATTTTTATTTTTTGGTATTTATTGGCTATGCCCGACTCAAACTATTTCTTATATACTTGTATTGGTGTGGGCCTCTGCGAGTGATTCCTTTGACTTTTATCTTGCTTAGGCATGGTTCATTATCTCTTGTATCCCAGCAAGCATGTCTTCAGTTGAACCCATCACAAAGATGAGAGTTTGTCAAATGTTCACCCAAAATGTGTATCTGTTCATTAGCTTTCTTAGGTTAAATGGGTTTCAACACGGCTCGCATGCATTTTACAATCAGTGATCATTTTCGATTTCACCTACATTGTCTACAACACTGTTAATAGCATGTGCCTTGGCCTCAGGTCAAGTCGTATTAAGTCTATCAATTAGTTAAGAAAATTCTGTCAAGAATTACGTCAACTGTTCTTTCATTAAAACATGTTTATACTGAAATGTTCTATCAGTTCCTCAAGGTATTTGAAGAATGATTATGCCATTCTATCTATAATTTTTTTAGGATCTCTTATTGGTAACCATGAGCGCTCAAAATATTCTCGATGCTTTGATTCTTTTGCAGGCTATCATTAGCTTTGTTACAATGCAAATGCAGCTTTGCTCTGTCTTTTTCACTTTCTCACTTGGAACAAGGACTCATTACTTTGGACGGACAATACTCCATGGTGGCGCAAAGGTGATGACTGTGTCCACTACTTTTTATTTATATGATTTTCAGTAAAATAAAATATTTATGATTCAAGTTCTTGTTTTTTCATTTAGTATCGCGCAACTGGTAGAGGTTTTGTCGTCCGTCATATAAAGTTTGCAGAGAATTACAGGATATATTCACGCAGTCATTTTGTGAAGGGGTATGCCTTTTTCTCTGCTTAAATCGAATAAATGATGCAAATTAGCTGTTCTGTTCATCTCATTAAGTTGTGATTGTGCAGATTGGAAGTTGTACTTTTGTTGATTGTATACCTTGCCTATGGATATAATAAGGGTGGCGCCGTTTCTTACATTTTACTATCTATTAGTAGTTGGTTCATGGCATTATCTTGGCTTTTTGCTCCATATGCATTTAATCCTTCTGGTTTTGAGTGGCAAAAGTGAGTGGTTTTTTTTTTCTCTTATACTCTGAAGCTTCTTTAAGAATTTTATTTTATTTTCGGTATGATTAATATTCCGTGACTCTTCAATGACCTAGCAAATTATGTCAACTGAAGAAATTCCTTATTTTTTCCTTTGCTGACTATGCCCTTAGAACTGTGGAAGATTTTCGAGACTGGACAAATTGGCTGCTATATCGAGGTGGAATTGGAGTCAAAGGTGAAGAAAGCTGGGAAGCTTGGTGGGATGAGGAACTGGTAAGCTTACTTTTCAAGCAGACTAGTGTATTAATTCAGAAAAAAGATTATAATGTTTAGAAAATTATTCTTGTTGATATATTATGTTTCTATGTTTTAACCATGAAGTTAATCATGTTTTTGTTATTATATTTTTTTCTTTTTTCCACATAACATATGATGTGTGGAGAACTTCTTTCTCTAAATCTATCTGTGATATTCATCTGCAATACTTGAACAAATATCTTGTTGACACTGATCTAGTGTTTTCTAAAGATGGTAAAGGAGAGATCTAGAGCTGTTTGGGGTTGAGGGGAATGGTTATATAGCCTGCTTTTGATGAGAAAATGGGGCTTGACAAAAAGAACAGCAGCTATAAGAAGTAGAAGCGTATGAAGGTACCGGAGGCAAGGGTGGAAAGGGGCAGAATGATGTCAGAGATGATCCATCGCTGCAACCTAATAAAATACTGCAAGACCACTCGTAAGAGCATGGATGTAGTGCTTTTAAATGAGAGAAATCTGATAGCAAACTTCAAATTGTCTTAAAACCAAACAAAAAGTTTTGCTACATGTGTCAAAATATGATATCTATAATGTCCTAAAACCCTAATTCTAATTTAAAATAGGAAATTAGCCCATTAGGGCTGGTAGACCCCACCCCTTGTGTGGGAAACCCAAACTGGCCAGTGCGCGAGATAAACAAGCCGATCTTTCCCCTACTCACGATACTTGGCTTGCTTGTGTTATCTTTAAGGATAATGGGGTTTTACCTTCTTCGCTTGGAAGCAGTTGGATCCTAGTAGTAGGGTGACAGGTCTGCGATGCTAAATATAATAGATAGGCTATATTCTCCCAACATGTCAATCTTATAAATATTGTCATCTTCTTTGCAACCTTGAATGGTCTATCAGCTCTATTCTTGGGCTTCTCAAAAGAGCTTGCAACAAACCTCTTTCTCTTCAATTTGGTTTATACCAAATCACCTTCCTTAAAGGATTGGGCTCTCCTGAATTGATTTGCATGCTTTGGATGTTTAGTAATTTTTCTTTTTCATCTTAACGCAATAGCCATCTCCTTCACTGACCTCTATATCAACACTAAGTTCAATGATTGTGGGTATAGGGATCAGCTCCAATGTTATAATAACTGGATAAAAAAATCATAATAATAACAAAAAAATATTAAATAAATGAAATGATATTGATGTTGTTCAAATGAGACGCTTCGCTCACGGGAATCAAAATGAAGAATACATTCTCTCGTTTCACATGGATTGAGAGCGAGGAAGAAGAAAGGGGAAGCAACGACGCATGTAGGAATAATCGACACCAGTTACGGTACCAAGCGAACCCTATCTGAAGCCTCGTACAAGTTCAAGTGGGCTCGAAGGAGTGGATGGGATCGTGAGTGAGGTTGAAGACAACATGCGAGCAATTGGCGGATTTATGCGAGCTTGCCTTCATCTGGTAGAGCAGATCGAACGAACCAACTCAAATCAAACACGCGAAGTGCGGGATTAAACAAGGTGGAGCAAGAGCAGGAGAATTATCGGAGAAGAAGGAAGAACTCATTGATTCGAGTGGAGGAAGAACAATTATTAGTACCAGAGCTCGTGCGCTTGCACATAGGTTGTCCTTTGTTCTTGACTCTCGGGTAAAATTCATTTGACGATCATGTGAGGGAAGAAGGAATAAGGGGGGAGACGACGCTACGACTTGCAGGAGATCACTGCTTTTTGAGAAGAAACTCTCGAGCCCTAGCGTGCGAAGAGGATTAAGCATCAAGCGCTACCTGCGGGAACGGCCCACCCCTCGAAGGGGGGACATGTCGCCCTCCAAACTTCCCCCTTTTTCTTTTATGTTTCCCTCCTATTCCCTTTCTTTTTCTATCACTCTCCTTTTTTATTTTGTCATTCCTTTTCTATTTTCTTTCTTATTCTAATCCTTACCAATTCTACTTACTAATCTCTATTATATATATGTGTTATTTTCTTAGGTTAGGGGTTGTTAATTTGTTTTTTGAATTCATAGTTCGCCGCCGATATTCTTTCTTTCAGAGGGTTATATCTGACGATGAGAATATGCTCCGATTGTAACTCGTTCGAAGTGGTGACTATCTCTGTTGTTCCTCTGCTTTACTGCTTCCACTAGTTTCATCCAGCGCTTCCAGACTGTCGTAGATCCCATCATGTGATTTTAGACCACTGCAGATACCATTCATGTGATTCTAGAGTGTTGCAGACTCCATTTAGTGCTTTCAAATTGCTGCAGATCCCTTCCTGCAATTCTAGACCGCCACAGATCCCCTTTCTGCGATTTCAAAATGTCATAGACTCCATCCAGTGCTTCTTCCTGCTATTCTAGTTGATGTAGATTACCTCCTTGTGCTTCCAACTGACCAACGACTCCCTCATGCAGCTCCAGCTGGCCGCTTGTTGACCTCATTTTTGAGGTCATTACTCTTTTCCTTAGGATCCTAGGATCTAGCTCTAGGGGTTCTTATTAACCATCTTAGAAAACTAGGACTGGAACCCGCCCTTTAGAAATTCCAGCCACTTCCTATTTTCCTGTGATGTCTGGCATTTATGGTCTCAAAAACATCGTCTTATGGACGAGCGGTTAAGGGCTATTATATGGAGACTCAGGGAGAAGTTCCTAATAGGATTTCAATCCTTAGGAAAATCACTTCATTACTTTATCATCACACACTAACCAAATGCACAAGAATTCACTAAATTGCACAAGATTTAACTTAAATTAAGTTTAGACGATGGGTAAAAATGTACTAACCAAATGCACAAGAATTCACTAAATTGCACAAGATTGAACTTAAATTAAGTTTAGACGATGGGTAAAAATGTTAACTTCTCCGGACGACCTCCGACGACAAAATGGACTGTGCCAACGCGTCCGGGACATCAATTTTAGTAGGTAAAGACACTCATATTGTCATATTTTCGACACGAGCAAAACTACACGCAAAACGATGAATTCGTCAAAACGACTTCCGATGATAAAACAGAATTACTTAAAATAGACACCAATTTTGTTATGTTGTGACACAAATAAAAAGTGCAAATTGAATTTTATTTTAAGAAATATTAAATATTTTATATATTTTACTTTATAATATTAAAATTATAATTTTAACTCTTATTTTATCCCTTCACTCGCGCACTCAGTCTCTCGTCCGGCTCGATCTCGCGAAGCTCCTCCCGTTCCCCTCGCGTGCCCTAGTTCCCGCGGGCGATCCGTGATGATTTCTTCTCCTCTCTCGACTCTTCCTCTGTCGATTCACGTACATGGCTCGCCTCTCGAGCTTTCCCTCGACTTTTCGGCTCTCCAATTGCAGGAAACGAGCTGGCCGACCCTTCTTCTTCTCGAGGCTTTACCGTCTCCCTATTTACTGTAGCATTTACAGCCTCGTCGTGTGATTTGTTTACTAGTGAGGCTGGTTGGTGGCTCTTTCTCCTCTTCTCTCTGCCTATTAAATGGTTTCCTAGCCTGTTGTTTTGGGTTGTTGAAAATTTTGAGAGAAAGGGGAGGCTGTGTTTTACTGTGGGAAGCCTTTAGGAAAGAAAACTGTCTGATTCTCGTGCGCTTGGAGTGTGGAGTGTTCGTGGGGTGTTGTTGTCTTTGCCGGAATACTCTCTAAGCTAGATTTTCGGGCGCTTGTGGCGTGGAGCATTCGTGGTTGCCGTTTCTTGGAGTCTTTAGGAAGAATATTTCTATTGGAGTGGTTTTCTCAAATCTATTTTATAATTTTGCTTTAAATCTGCTGAAAAGAGGTATTCTCCTCCTATCCTCTATTTTTACACCTTCGGATGGAAATACTTCCTATCTCATATGAAAGCAAGATTTGGGTATGTTTTGAGATTTAGGCATGAAAATAATTCCTATAAACATCACAATATAGCATGTATGGGCTGCCTTTGTTCTTCTTGTTTGAGATATTTGGAAATATCATAATGGCGGTTTTGAAATGAAATTCGCCCCTCTAGAAATGCATGTTAGAATGGGTTATCAAACCCCTTTATTACTTAGGTTCAAAAATGAATGTTGGCTCATGCTTATCTATTTCATGCTACCTATCACTATTTGAAACATATGTTAGAAATTTTCTCTGTTTTGCCCCTGCCTTTGGTTTCGATTTTGGTTAGGCTGGATTAAATATTAGCTAGAAAAATTTTCTGTGTTAGCCCATTTGGAGGGCTCAATTTTGACTTCATGATAGCTAGAAATTGCATTTCATTTAGCCCATTTGGTGGGATCGGTTTGGCTCTTTTGGAACTGAACTTATGCTGGAAATTTTTGTCTTTTTTTGGCCCATTTGTTGGGTTCAGCTTTGACTCTTTTGAGATGGATTCTTGCTGAAATTTCCCTCTGTTTTTCCCCATATGGAAGGTTCGGTTTTAGCTCTTTGGAAATGGATTCTTGTTGAAAGTATTTTCAGTTGTTTTGCTCATATGTCGGGCTCGGTTTACCCATGTGTTGGGTTCAGTTTGGGCTTCTTTTGAATCAAATTACAAATGGAATTTTTTGCCCTGTTTTCCTATATGGTTGGGTTCGGTTCTGGCTTCTTTTTGGATTGAATGTTCGTTGGAAAGTTTTATATTATTTTTGACTCGTTTAGTGGGCTCGTTTTGGTTTCTTTTGGTATTATGTATTAGCTGAAAGTTCTCTACTGTTTCTCTTCCTTTATATGACTCGGTTTTGGCTCGTTTTGTCCATATGCTGAGTAAGGTCTTGGCTTAAACTGGTTTCTCTTCTTTATCCTTTATATTGGGTTTATTTAGATTGGAGACAAGGAATTGATTTGGTTCAAAAGCTTATTTGGGTGTAGTTGGACTGTTGGCTCTTTCTCTTTTTTTTTCTTGCTCTCCTTGCTGGGCTCGGGTATACTTGTGTGGTTCTCTGTTTTTTTTGCTCTTCTCCCTGAGTTCAAACTTCTTGGCCACTGTTTTCCTGATTTGCCCCTCTGTTGGGTTCGGTTGAGCTGGAAACTTTGGATATAATGCTT